CCAGATTTGCTGATATATTGAGTACAGTATTTTATCAACACTGTCTTTTAGCAATTTTAACAGCTCAGCTGGAATTTCACCACCTCCACTAGCATTATTTTTAGTAATGTTTCCTAAGGCCCACTTGACTTTGCACTCCAGGATGTCAGGCTTTAGGTCAGTGACCACACAATCGTGGTTATCTGCATCACTAAGACCTTTTCTGTATATAATTCTTCTGTGTAGTCAGGCCATCTCTTTTTAATCTTTTACTTAAGTATGAGCAAAAAGCCAAGAAACACCAGATATCCAAAGAAAGCCTCCATTATAAAATTAAAAGCCCTAAAGTCATGGACTGTGATAGGGTACTCAGAATAAAAGGAGACAATGAATGCAAACAGCAGCAAAAATTTGGGGAAAAAAAACAAACAACACAATAATTTTATTTTCATAACAAAGCTACATCCACAAAAGAATTATAGGATGTTATAAAAAAGTAACCATCCAAGAAAAAGCTTTTAAGGACAAAAAATGTTGACAGTTGAGAGATAAAGTTGGGGAAATCATCCAGAAATTACAACAAAAATATAAGAGAGAGAAAAAAAAGAGGGAAAGGGGATTTATGAGTATCAGTTCAGAATGTTCAGTATCTACCTAATAGTTCCAGAAAGAGAGAAGACAAAGAGAAATAAAGAAAAAATTTCTCAACTGGAAATGAAAATTTGCAGATGAAACACGTTACCTCAGATACAGAAGAAGACCCCTACATCATCACGAATTTTTAGAAAGGAAAAAACAGAGCAACAACAAATAGGGACAAAGATCCTAAAGCTTACAAAGAATATATATAAAAAAGCAAGAGTCCACATAGCAACACTCCAAGCTGACCATGATAATGAATTAATGTCTTCACAATTCTGAAGGAAAACTTACGAAGATTTTCCAATATAGAATTCTGTATTCAATCAAACTATGAATCATCCCTTTAAATGACATATATCACATTCAAGTTCTCAAAAAACTTAGTTGCAAACAGTCTTTTCCAGGAAGGCTAGTAGGAATATGTTCTGCCAAAACAAAGGCATAAATCAAGAAGCAAGATGACATGAAGCAGAAGATATTAAGAAGAGGTGGCAAGAATACACAGAAGATACACATACAATAAAGATACACATACAAAAAATAAATACATACACATACAAGAAATACACATACGATAAAAGATCTTAATGACCTGGATAACTGCGATGGTGCGATCATTCACCTAGAGCCAGACATCCTGGAGTGTGAAGTCAAGTGGGCCTTAGAAGGCATCACTAAAAACAAGGCTAGTGGAGTTGAGGAATTCCAGCTGAGCTATTTCAAGTCCTAAAACATGATGATGTTAAAGTGCTGCACTCAATATGCCAGCAAATTTGGAAACTCAGCAATGGCCACAGGACTGGAAAAGGTCAGTTTTCATTCCAATCCCAAAGAAGGGCAATGCCAAAGAATGCTTAAGCTACCACACAATTGCACTCATTTCACATGCTAGCAAGGTCATGCTCCAAACCCTCCAAGCTAGGCTTGAACAGTATGTGAACAACCAAGAACTTCCAGATGTACAAGCTGGATTTAGAAAAGGCAGAGAGGAACCAGAGATCAAATTGCCAACATCTGCTGGATCATCAAAAAAGCAAGAGAATTCCAGAAAAACATCTACTTTGCTTCACTGACTAGGCTAAAGCCTTTGACTGTGTGGATCACAACAAACTATGCAAAATTCTTCAAGAGATGGGAATACCAGACCACTGTACCTGGCTCCTGAGAAACCTGTATGCAGGTCAAGGAGCAACAGTTAGACCAGACATGAACAACAAACTGGTTCCAAATTGGGAAGGAGTATGTCAAGGCTGTATATTGTCACCCTGCTTATTTAACTTATATGCATAGTACATCATGCAAAATGCCGGGCTGGATGAAGCATGAACTAGAATCAAGATTGCTCAGAGAAATATCAATAATCTCAGATATGCTGATGACAACACCCTTATGGTAGAAAGCAAAGAAGACTAAAGAGCCTCTTGATGAAAGTGAAAGAGTGAATAAGCTGACTTAAAACTCAACATTCAGAAAACTAAGATCATGGCATCTGGTCCTATCACTTCATGGCAAATAGACAGGACAACAGTGGAAACAGTAAAAGACTATTTTCTTGGGCTCCAAAATCACTGTGGGATGGCAACTGCCGCCAGATGTCTAATCCTTGGAAGAAAAGCCATGACAAACCTAGAGAGTGTAATAAAAAGCAGAGACATTACTTTGTGGACAAAGGTCCATCTAGTCAAAGCTATGGTTTCTCCAGTAGTCATATATGGATGTGAGAGCTGGACCATAAAGAATGCTGAGCACAGAATTGATGCTTTCGAACTGTAGTAATAGAGGAGACTCTTGAGAGTCCTGTGAACTGCAAGGAGATCAAATCAGTCAATCCTAAAGGAAACCAACCCTGAATATTCATTGGATGAATATTCATTCAGCTGAAGCTGAAGCTCCAATACTTTGGCCACCTAATGCGAAGAGCCGACTCATTTGAAAAGACCCTGATGCTGGGAAAGATAGAAGGCAGGAGGAGAAGGGGGTGACAAAAGAAGAGATGGCTGGATGGCATCACTGACTCAATGCACATGAGTTTAAGCAAGCTCCAGGAGATGGTGAAGGACAGGTCCATGGGGTCGCAGAGTGTCAGACATGACTAAGCAACTGAACAACAACAAGATGACGTGGGCCCAGGAGACAGAACAAAGGAGAGACATGAAAAGAATTCCCAGCAAGAAAATAAGAACAAATTCCAGGACCTGAGCAAACACAAAAGAGTCCAGCATTGGAGAATGGAAATAAATGCTGCCAAGAAACTGGTTTTATATTTGGCCATTTGAGAATGTTTACATTTATGATTTGCTGGGTATCTGTCAGCGAATTAGTGATAGGTGTGTAGAAACCTAAGCAAAAGAAAGAAAACAAAAACAAAAAAACCCTGAGACTTTACTAAAAATTAAAGAAAATCAAAGAAAGGAAATGTAATCATAGCATAATCTGTGACTAGGCTGTTGTTAGTATTTATATAATCATAATGATACAAACAGTGAATCTTAATTTAAATGAAACTGAAATATAATTATATTGGGAGAATGAAAGGAAAGATGATGGTTTAAATAGCTATGTCCTTGTCATCTTTCACTATAAAGTCAATAGGTAACAATGCAGCCTTTTTTAAACCCGTGGTCCTAATGTGATCCACAGAATTCAGAAAATGATGAGTGACTATTTGCTCAATTTTTTCAAAGAAAGTACATAGCTAGTATTGTTCTAGACACACAGGAGTATAGTTAATTCACTATACAAACGGGGTGCTGTAGGGCATTATGACTTGATTTTCTCACAGAATCCCAACTGAAAAAGAGAGAGACCAAAGAAGAATAGCACATGAAGATGTGATTTAGATACCTGAAGATAAATACGCAAAGCAACATGAGAGGTGATAAGAGATATCCTCTTGAGAATGGGAATGAAGAGTCAGTAGGGGCAAGGGGCTACTATTGCCTTTCATATTTTGTATTACCATTTGACCTTAATACTGCATACATACATTGAAAAAAAAAAGTGTGAGTTGCTCAGCAGTGTTCAATTCTTTGCAATCCAATGGACTACAGCCTGCCAGGCTACACTGTCCATGGAATTCTCCAGGCAAGAATACTGGAATGGGTAGCCATTCCCTTCTCCAGGGGATCTTCCCGACCCAGGGTCTGAACCCAGGTGTCCTGCACTGCAGAAAGATTATTTACCATCTGAGCAACCAGGGAAGTATTCTGTTATTACCATTTACCTTAATATTGTATACATGCTTTACTCTAATAAAAATATGTTTTTGATTTTTAAAAAGAGGCTCAAAATGGTAAGTGGGCACAAGTATTAATAAGTAGGTTTAGGAGAGGATGGAAAAGCAAATCTCACTTTTTATACGCTGCATCATTTAATTTCTTAAACAATAAAGAAAAAAGTATTTCAATAGGGCACAGCCTTTGAAATCAAAGTCTTAGATTGAATGCTAGTTCCACCTCTTGTTAGTCTGGACAAAATAGTACACAACTCTGAGCTTCTTTATATGTGAAGGGAAGGACATCTGTCTCGTAAGGTTACAATAAAGATAAAATTATAGGATGGTAACAATAATGTTAGCTAACCTTTATTGAACTGGGCACTCTGCCAATGATTTAACATATATTGATTCATTTACTCCTTACAATCATCTAAGGTATTATCATAATCTCTTTCATGGATGTAGAAACTTACCTCAGATTCAAATCCAGGTCAGGATTAGAATGCATATAGTCTTATCCTAGGGTTTCCCTGATAGCTCAGAAGGTAAAAAAATCCACCTGCAATATGCGAGACCTGGGTTTGATCCCTGGGTTGGGAAGATCCCCTAGAGAAGGGAACAGCCACCCACTCCAGTATTCTGGCCTGGAGAATTCCAATTCAGACGACCTTCATTAAAATGATACATAACCATTCTCCTCTAATCACTAAACAGCCTCCCCATGTAAAATAATACTAAAATGAGACTAATTTCTTGCAGTAATGAAACCATTACAGTTTTGAAGGGAATACATTCTCTTCTTCCTGATTTGGAAGAAGGAATAGGTTTTTTCAAATTATACTTTCCCCACTTTTGCTTTTATGTTTTCCCAAGTTCCGCAAACCATGGAATATTCCTATATGGAATACTCCTTCACTGTCTTTTTTCCCCATCCTTCTGCATGCTTCTAGTCCCTGATGCTAAAAAGGTAACAGTTCACAGAACATGAAAATTATGTACAAGGTCTAGCTTCAAAAAGAGAAAACATAAATATAAAATCAACATTTCTTCAGCAAAACATCTGAATGCACTTTATCTGGTCAGAGACTGGGGAACAGCAATGTGCTTAGGGGAGATGGGAAAAGGGAAGAAGTAAGATATCCCAATTAGACTTGAACAGTACCTTGAGCCTTTATATCCACTGAGATCTTTGTCCATATCCAACTCAGGAGTGGATTCAATGATTGCCTGAACTTCTGACTTCTCTTCATTTTCAGCAGAACCTTAGAAAAGGACAAAATAACAAAAATAACACATATAACACATACAGCCCCTGATATGAAAATTGTTTCTACGGTTGCAAATACATCATTTGATCATAAAAATTTTTAGAGAGCTGAGAAACACAAGGTTAGACAGACAATAGGTCATATATTCAACTAACAGTCCAATATGGAAATTTAAAAAAAAAACAATGAAAGTTTTCATTTGTGTTACTTTGGACACAATGCACTGTACACCAGGCCAGAACTCAGTATTTTCATTTTAATTAAGGGATGAAATACAGAGAGATTAAGGACAGAGACTAATGACCTATGGCAGGGAACAGATAAAGAATGTCTTCCTGCCTTTCAGACTCTCCAAACCCCAGCCACTCTTTACCCACGCCATTTTTACTCTCTAAAACTTAACTTTTAATCATCACGTATTTTAAGCTTATTTACAATTGAGTACAATTTTATGAATCTACAGCAGCAACACCCCCCAAAGATGTACCTTCTCACATTTGCATCATTTGGATTTACTGAATACTTTGCCAGTATAGAAAAAACTAAGGTTACTTACCTGTTGATATGTTTCTAGTTTCTTGGACTACTTGTACTTCAATATGCTTGCTTATCTCTGACTTATCTGGTGTATCTGCAACCTTCACAATTCCTTCATTCTCCTCATGTAAGGGAGTATCGATAGATATAGCTGCCACATCTGAAGCAGTTGTTGACGCTGGAGTGGTAGCTTTAGATCCTCCCTGGCTAACATCAGAAAGTTCATCCTACAAATATAATTAGGGAAAACATTTTGATGAGTAATTTATTTAAATGGTCTTTTAAATAGGTAAAGAAACTTGAAAGAAAATTCTGTTAAAAACCAGTAAGTCACTTATTACCAAAAGTAATCAAATAATCTTTGTAGCTTGTTTTCAAGTAACTGGGTAATAGTTAAGTAATATTTTTCCAGACATACGTGATATTCTTCTAAATAGAAAAAGTAAAGATAAAGGAGGACTGGCAGTATTATCAATAAAAGTATACACTAATGTCATCATCAGAGTTTATAATGGCAGTCCCAATTTGCACAATCATTTGATAATGAAGACTCGTCTCAAAACACTTAAAGATGTACTATGTGGTGGTTGTTGTTACTCTTCAGTAGCTCAGTCATGTCCAGCTCTTTGTGAACCAATGGACTGCAGCACTCCAGGCTTCCCTATCCTTCACTATCTCCCAGAGTTTGCTCAAATTCATGTCCATTAAGTTGGTGATGCTATCTAACCATCTCATCCTCCATCGCCCTCTTCTCCTTCCTGCCCTCAATCTTTCCCAGCATCAGGGTCTTTTCCAATGAGTCAGCTCTTAGAATCGGGAGGCTAAAGTACTGAAGCTCCAGCTTCAGCATCAGTCCTTCCAATGAATACTCAGGGCTCATTTCCTTCAGATTGCCTGGTTTGATCTCCTTGCAGTCCAAGAGACTCTAAAGAGTCTTCTTTAGCACAATTGGAAAGCATCAATTCATCTTCATGCTCAGCCTTCTTTATGGTCCAACATTATGGTCACATCTCTACATGACTACTAGAAAAACCGTAGCTTTGACTATTCGGACCTTTGTTGGCAAAGTGATATCTCTACTATTAAATACGCTGTCTAGGCTTGTAGAGCAACTGTCTTCTAATTTCATGGCTGCAGTCACCGTCCACACTCATTCCGAAGCCCAAGAAAATAAAATCTGTGACTGCTTCCACTTCTTCCCTTTCTATTTGCCATAGTGATGGGACCAGATGCCATGATCTTAGATTTTTGAATGTTGAGTTTTAAGCCAGCTCTTTAGTTCCTCTTCACTTTCTGCCATTAGAGTGGTATCATCTGCATATCTGAAGTTGTTTATATTTCTTGATTCTAGCTTCTGTTTCCTCCTGCCCAGCATTTTACATGATGTACTCTGCATGTAAGTTAAATAAGCAGAGTGACAATATTTGAACAATTGGTTGTTCCCAATTTTGAGCCAGTCAGTTGTTCCATATCTGGTTCTAACTGTTCCTTCTTGACCCATATAGAGGTTTCTCAGGAGGCAGGTAATGTAGTCTGGTACTCCTATCAGTAGAATTCTCCACAGCTGTGATCCACACAGTCAAAAGCTTTAGCTCAGTCAGTGAAGCAGAAGTAGATGTTTTTCTGGAATTCCCTTGCTTTCTCCATGATCCAACAAATATTAGCAATTTGATCTCTGGTACTTCTCCCTCTTGGAAATGCAGCTTGTACATTTGGAAGTTCTTGGTTCAAGTACTACTGAAGCCTAGCTTTAAAGATTTTGAGCATAACTTTGCTAGTATGTGAAATGAGCCCAATTGTGTGGTAGTTATGCAGATAATACCACCCTAATGGCAGGAAACAAAGAGGAATTAAAGAGCCTCTTGATGAAGGTGAAAGACCAGAGTGAAAAAGCTAGCTTAAAACCCAACATTCAAAAAACTAAGCTCATGGCATCCGGTCCCATCACTTCATGACAAATAGATAGGGGAGAAAATGGCAACAGTGACAGACTTTATTTTCTTGGGCTCAAAAAATCACTGTGGGACTGACACTGCAGTCATGAAATTAAAAGATGCTTGCTCCTTGGAAGAAAAGTTATGACAAACCTAGACAGCATATTAAAACGCAGTCATCACTTTGCCAACAAAGGTCTGTATGGTCAAAGCTATGGTTTTTCCAGCAGTCATGTATGGATGTGAGAGTTGGACCATAAAGAAGGCTGATGCCAAAGAACTGACACTTTCAAACCGGGGTGCTGGAGAAGATTGTTGAGAGTCCCTTGGACTGCAAGGAAATCAAACCAGTCAATCCTAAAGGAAATCAACCCTGAATATTCAGTGGAAGCACAGATGCAGAAGCTGAAGTGCCAATATTTTGGCCACATGATGCAGAGAACCAACTCATTGGAAAAGATCCTGATGCTGGGAAAGATTGAGGGCAGGAAGAGAAGGGGGCATCCGAGTATGAGATGGCTGGATGCCATCACTGACTCCACAGACATGAGTATGAGTAAACTCCAAGACATAGGGAAGGACAGGGAAGCCTGGCATGCTGCAGTCCATGACTTGACTGAGCAACTGAACAGTGAACAAATGAAATGAAAAGTCTCCGCCACAGTGTTTGACTGAGGGCACAATATTTTTTTCTCCTATGGAAGAAATTATGAAATTCTGTCACTAACAATGCATCCAACTAAAGATAGAAGGAAGAAAGATAATCCTTAATATTAGCCTGCTGTTAAATATAAAATATATCACTGGTCAACAGTAAGTCCATAAGACTTCAGGTACAAAATGAGGAAAAATTTTTACTAGGACCTAAATGGAAACTGGAAGCATTGATATGAATTATTTAATGTGAAGTTGTAGGGGAGTTGCATGCTATTATTTCATATTCAATCTGTGACATTAAGAGACCTCTAATTCCTATTTTATGTTGCTCTATGTCAGGTTGTACTGTTTCAGCTACCAATTTTGACTACAAATGCTGCTTTATTTATCTGAAGACCACCAGCCTAACAATTTGAATTAAGATGTCCTCTTCAATGACACATGTAGGTGCCGTAAGTGAAGACTTGCTGGGTGGTCAAGTCTCTTTCTAATAAATGCACTTGTTTTGTAACCCCACTCAAAGTCTTTCAATCTTCAAGAAACTCTCTTATTACAGGCTTTCAAGTCACTAAACAATGCCCACAAAACTAAGGAACCTGACTTGGGGTTCCAGTGCTGTAACTACAAAAGAATGGCACTCCTGTGCAAGATAATAAGTCGTGGTGAGATGTGAAGAAATCAGGACCCCTGTGTACTGCGGGTGGGGTGATATGATAGTGCAACTGCTATGGAAAACAGTATAATATTTCCTCATAAAATTAAAAATAGAACCAAAATATAATCCAGCACTACCCCTTCTGCGTATAAAACAAAAAGATTTGGAGCCAGGGATTCAAAGAGATGTTTACACACGCACATTCACAGCAGAATTATTCATAGTAATCAACAAGTAGAAGCAATCCAAATGTCCAACAAGGGATGAAATGTATAAACAAAATATGGTGTGTGTATATATATATATATATATATATATATATGTATGTATATATGTATATACATACACACACAATGGAATATTATTCAGCTTTAAAATGGAAGGAAATCCTGTGATTTCCTTGATACAACATGGACGAATCTAGAGGACATTATACTAAGTGAAATAAGCCAATCACAAAAAGACAAATACAATGTGATTCTACTTGAATAGGTGGCATTAATTTTAGCTTCACTTGAGATACCATGGTGAAAACAATCTGGTCTTTGTGCTATTTTTCTGCTGGTTTTAGATACCAGGCTAAAAGTCTATACACCTTTACAAAATACTTTCAATTGTTCCATTCATCAATGCCTCACGTACCCAGTGCTGTATATAATATATATGTCACATATTATCTGCCATTGCCCCATTGCTAGTTATATTCAGAGAGACTATAAAGTAAGTTCACAACTATAAAAATAAAATTAGCCAATTAAGGACAATTTAGAAATGTTCTAAGATAGTGTTTGCTTAAGTAGCTTGCCTGATTTCATCTGAAATAAGCTAAGAAAGAGGGCAAGTAACTCTGCTATATAAACCTGTCTTTAGCTTCAAAGATTTTAAGCCTAATCTAAGCAAAAGACAAACAGAATCACAAAATTCTGTATATACATGTATTTTCTGGAGAGCTTCATAACTTTAATCTGATTCCTAGAGGAATCCGTGATCCCAAGAAACACTGAGAACCACTGAGATGAAGTAAATCTAGCTCTAAGTTATACTATAGGTTCAAAAAAATTTAGCTTATTAAAACAGAGGCATAGTTGACCTACTTCTGAAGATATTTCTGAAAATGATACTGGTTCCACTGTTAGGAACCAGGTGAAGGCCTTACCCTGGTTAACCCTGATCTAGTGGGTAGGATAAAGTCTTATTTTGTCCTTATATCCCCAGTGCCTAGTATATCAAGCCTGACATGAAGCAGGCTCTCAAAAGATATTTGCTGAATGGTGCCCTAACAGGCGTTAAACAAATCTGTTTAACTAGGGAGGCAGCCCATGGTAAAATGACTTACTAGGCTGTCTCCAGGATACTTTCAAGTTACGTACATTCTGCCCCGAGGATGGTATTTGTGCAAACACAGAAGTCTTCTTACCCACAGCTGTATAAAGAGAAATAAGCTGAACTTCCAAAGGATTTACTTATTCTTTTCTCTCCTTTATAGATTACAGTAAAGCCCTAGCAACCACTGTAGTGGTTCAGCTGGTAAAAAATATCTGCCTGCAATGCGGCAGACCTGGGTTTGATCCCTGGGTTGGGAAGATCCCCTGGAAAAGGGAAAGGCTACCCACTCCAGTATTCTGGCCTGAAGAATTCCATAGACTGTACAGTCCATGGGGTCACAAAGAATCAGACATGACTGAGCAACTTTCACTCACTCAGTGAATAACATCAGTTGTCTTCCAAACTGAGCACTTGATATCTTGAGAGCAGTAGTTGAGGAAGTAACCAAAAGTTAATCACTTTCATCTACTTTTTGCAAAATGTTTTGAAAGCCCATTTTCACCTCCTGTTCTATAGCCTTCAGAGGTTCAGGGCTACTTCTGACCTGGGAATAGGGAAAGATTATAAAAGAGAAAAAAAATTCATATATTTACTAGGTGTCAGCATATGTCTAAGTATCTTTGGCTTGTGCTACCTCTCAGGATAACAAGGTCCA